GGCCCTCGGAGAGCCCGACTCGGGCTCCGCGCACCTCCAGCCCTGGGCTCCGAGGCTCGGGCTCTGCAGCTCCCGAGCGCGCCTCTGATTGGCTGGCGGCGCCTGTCTGCCTGCTGCTCTGCTGCCAGTCTCTCCTCCTTCCTCTCGTCTCCGGCTCTCCCCTCCGCTCCCTTCCCTTTCTGCCTCCCTTTTTTTCCGCCCCCCACTCCCCCTCGTCCTACGTACTTCAGGGGCCGCACAAATTCTGCCGCACACAGAACGGACACTCGGCAGCCCCCTCAGCAAGGTCATGTCGAAAGCAATGCAGTTAGTAATAATAAATAAATAAAGATCCGGAACCAACGGCGTCGTCTTGAGCTCCAGAGCTCTTGAAAAATGACGGCCCGGACTCCGTGACAATTTAGACCATCAATTCTGTGCGGGGAAGGGGAGGATGGGGGGGGCGAGAAGAGGTTGGACTGTCAGATGGAGTGGGAGTAGGCATCAGGAGGGGACGAGCATAAGCAGGCTGGGCAGGCGCTGATGTGGCAAGCTGGTAATAAATTTTCCCATTTCCGTGCAAAGTCGTCACAGCCTGCTAAACATTCAACCGCTGGCTCATTCATCAGTGATCCCGAGTCCGGTGGTAGCCGTGAGATTTAGCTTGCGCGATGCCCTTTAATGCCCCACCCCAAAGTACTCAAGGCGTGGAGGGTTTATAGGAGATAGAGTTTCCCCTTGGAGGTCAGCATTTTATTGGTGAAGATGAACAGCGACTGTGATACCTTTCCAGCCCCCCCGGGCTCGTGCCAGGAAAACTAACACACACGAACTTCTCACCTCCTATTACTCCAGAATAAATTAAATCGATTTGTAACGTACATCGCATTTGATAGCAGGGATTTCAGGCCTGATTGGCTGTATTTGAAACTGATGCGAACAGCTGAAACAACTTTAGTACTTTCTCCCAGCACGAAGTCACCAAGGCTCAGGCATTAACATCAAGCATCCCCCTTTAAAACAGTGTAGTAAACAAGTGTGGGAGTTTATCTAAATTAAATGGCTATTGCAAGGGTCCCTTGGCAGACATATTAAGAATTATACAAGACCCTCAATCATTGCAAACACGAAGAGAACATTATGTTTTCTGCTTACTTGCTAAAACTACAACTGCCCAGGTTCAGAGATTTACAAGAACCAAAAGATATGAGCCTGGGGGGCGGGGGTGTGTGTGTGATAGAGTGCAGAGGCTCTTTAAAGGCTGAGAGACAAAGATTCAACTTCTGATCTTGCTTCCTTCTCTGCCTAAATCTTTGCCAGCTTTTTAGCTTTTCTGAGCCTCAGAAAGCTTCTCTTTAAACCCTAAAAGGGAATACTCTCTTCAGAGGATCTATGCAAAGATGCTGTGAAAATTTGTCATTGTTCCTAATCTAACGGAAACTTTCAATAAAGGTTATTTAACTTTAAAAAAATATTTTAGAGAGATTTTTGCTGTAGGTCACATTTGCTCACTTGAGAGACAGAGAGACAGAAAGTGATAAATCACCTCCCTCCCCCTCAGGGAGATGACCTCACTGCAATTCCCTCTCCTCCATTCTTCCCTTGGGATTTTGTTCATGCACACACATGTGCCAGGTGTGAGTTTTAAGCCACCAGGTCTGGGACTGGAACCATGGTCGACTACATGAGAGTCCAGCAATGTAATCCTTACGCCATCTGCTGGTCCCATGGTTACTTAACTTTTGATCATCCCTTTCTTTTCTCCTGCCCTGAGAAATGTTAAAAAAGGTTGAGGAGGTAAAGTAAGTTGTATTCTGTGGTGTGCTGATTAAGGTGCTGAACTTCCACATGGCCAAACACAGTTGAGTCCTGGACCTAGCAACTTGCTTTCCCAATTTCTCCTCTCTCTCTCTCTCTGTCTCTCCCCTGTCAATATTTTTTTCTTTCTTTTTTTTTTTGTAGAGGTTTTTGCCATAGGGCAGGTATGCTCACCAGACAGAGAGACAAACAAAAAGCAAGAAATCACCCCCTAGGGAGATGGCCATGCCACAATCCCTTCTCCTCCATTCTCCTCTTGGGATCTTGGGCACG